AGCAGCAAATAAACTGGTTAGGACAGCCAGAGAAAGGAAAGCGTGATCAAAAATCTTGAAAGACTACAAGTAACATGCATAAAGCAAAAACCTGAGTAAATCTGAGATGATGTTAAAAGGTATGCTTCAAGTATGTTTTAGCACTCTCATTTAACAGAAGAATTGAAAACAGGTAAAACTAAACAATGTATTTAGGAACACATAAGTGAGACAACTACGAAGAAAAGCTAGGGAAGGATTAACAAAGAATTCCGGGTAGCGGGAGCCTGGTGGAGAGAGGGACAGGATGCAGATAGTTCTTTGACTTCGGTGTTTGATTTACTACTATTCTTTAAAATATTAAACTGTGCAAATATGTAACATACATAGATCTTACATGCATGACATATTTCATAATTTAAAAAAACTTAATGGAATTTCTCTACCTCACAATTTCCCAGTTTGTTTTTCTGTTTGTTTTCTGAAATAGCCTAACAAATGTGCTCATATAATTATATAAAATGATTTGTGTTTCTGGCCTAAGATTTTGCAACAAGAAGCTCCACCTCAGGTCTAGTGAATCAAAATCACTGGGAGTTGGGCCACTGAACCCTTAAAAAACAAAACCAAACAAACCACCACCACCCTAGGTGACTCACAAGAATCTAAAGAAACTCAAGTTTGAGTCTCCCACAGGAAGAGGTCTTCCTTCTGTTACAGCTTGAAAGCTCTGGAGAATCAAGTGCCAGTCCTTCCCCAAGTTCTCTAGGGTCTCTTTCTGCCCTCTCTACAGTATTTTCAAACTTTCAACCTCAAGTCTTCCCTATCCTAATACACACACAAGCACCAGCTGACTTCATCTTGCAACCAACTCTAAACTTCTCACTCTTTCCTTCTCTGTCATACTCAAAGTCTTCAATAAGACTGTACTATGGCCCACAGTACAGCTCTGCTCTTCCCAATATCACTCTATCTTTCAAAAAATCATCACTGAGCTACAGACATGTACTTCCAACTGCCTACTAGACATTTACCCTTTGCCAACTGGCAAATCCTTACTTGTCACTCTAATTTCAGCTTAAATAGCACCTTCCAGGTAAAGCCTTGCAGCACCTGCCCCAAAGGCCCATCCACTTGTTTATTAAACAGCTCCACTACTGAATGGCCTACGCTGAATATTTAAGACAAAGTCAAAAGCTTTCCAACCAAACAAAAAGATTATTTAAAATGCACGTAGTAAAGGTGGTCAAAAAGTACAAACTTCCAGTTATAAGATAAATCAGTCCTGGGAATGTAACATACACGTTAATAATACTGTATTGAATAGCTGAAAGTTGGTAACAGTATATCTTAAAACATCTCATTACAAGAAAAAAATTTTCCAGCTCTGTGTGGTGATGGATATTAACTAAACTTACTGTGGAGATCGTTTTGCAATATACACATGTATCAAATCATTCAGTTGTACACTTGAAACTAATACAATGCTATATATTAATTATATCTCAATTAAAAAAACACACTCATCCCTTGAAAAAAAAAATACATTCAGATGGTATTAATGTGTGACCAGGCCGGTCTTGTTTATTTTCTTATATAGCACTTGTCCTCAAAAGATTTTAAGCAAAAACAAAAAAAAGCAAACACAGCAAAACGGTGGGGGTGGGCAGGGAGGGAAGGAAGAGTGAAGGGGACGTGTACAAGGCAACAGGGAGCAGTGGTGGCGTCTGTTACCATCTTAAAAGAGTAACGAACAGGACTTGGTCAGGTAAAAAAGTTATGACCTAATTTTTCTTTTCATTTTGCCTGGGGGTTGGAGGCGAGGAGGGTGGAGCACAGTAAGAATGGATATTTCAGACAGAACACAACAGGGTTTGTGCTTCTGTGGGCCTAGATGAGGCACAGGAAAGGGACAGGAGGATTAGTGATGAGATTAAAATGGTAGGCAGATGTCAGAATTTTAGGACCAATATTTATAGGTTTATTACAGTTTTTCTCTCCTTCTGTACCTGATAATTATTTGCTTATAATATTAGGCCAGGCTTGTTAAAAACCAATTCCCATTTTATACCTAGATTTAAATGACACATTTTCTTGATTTTTCAGGAACAAAGCACTATTAATGATAAAATTAAAACTATATTTTAACTGCATTTGGCCATACACTAAGAAAACAAATATTTCAACAGTATCATCATGATCATGTAAAATGTTTTAAAAATCTCTTCTATGAAACAGGGAATTCTGAAAAAGAAAATGTGTGTGGTGCTTTCTCATTTGTCCTCATTTTATCTCACTACTGAGAGGAAGGAACACTAATAATAATTGTTTCATAGGCTAGGGAAAAGTAAGAATCAGGAAAAGCAGTGATTTCATTTTTAAATGCATATTTTTCACACTGTGGCTTTAAAAAAATCAGGATGGCTCTCTCACTATTGATTTAATATCATTTGAGTTGGGGGGCAGGGGGAGGACCACATTAAGTGTACCTTACAACTATGCGTACACTTAGAATTAAGAAAGCATGGTAAAGCATTTTGGCCAAAGTTAATATTAATAGTAAGAAAGTGGTAGAATTGAGCTAAAATTCTTCTGTCAAGTTATTAATGTATATTACCAGGAACATTATAGCCTGTTTGGCTATTCTTTTATTAAGTTAATTAAATGTAAAGGGCCTACCTTCTATTAGGCTCTTCCTGGAATACAAAGCCATATAAAACACCTTTTCTGCCCTCAAGAAGTATATGATTAAATATCAATGCCTACACCAGTATCTACAAAACAGTCAGGAATTATTTCGTAAGAATGATACAAAGTGGGACACAATGAGATAAGGAGGGGGGAGTCCCTTCCAGCCAGATCACCAGGAAAGCCAGACACATCAAAAGAACTTCACAAATGTTGACTCTGAAAGCATTCTGGAAGACCCAAGTTAGACTCTGAAGGACAGACAGAATTTTGACAAAGAAAGCACTCCAGAGGGAGAAGCAGGGACCAGGAAAAGGCACATGCATCAGCTACAGGGCATTACTGGCAGAAGGAAGATGGGGACTGGGACTAGTGAGTAGTGGGAAAGAAGGCTACAAAAGTTAAACAGGGGCTAAAATATGGAGTTCCTTGAAGGTCAAACTAAATGTGAACAGAGGACTAGCCTCCTAACAGTCATGTCTGAGGAAGATTAATCTGACAGTAAACTATACCAAGCTGAACCGGAGTGAGGAGAAAGCAATGCTGTAGACAGTTCAGCGTCAAGTGCTCAAGTGCCCTGACTAGGTGGTAACAGAAGCAACGGCAAGAAAGCAGTGCCTCCCCTTTGAACTGCCTGGGGATTGGTTTCGCACGAGGGCAAATTCCAAAAGAACAGAGCACCAACTTGTTCACATTTGTAGCCCCAATACTTCCAGCACAAGACTTTACCACAGTAGAAGCTCAGTAAGCAAACTGAAGGCAACCTGCAAAGGTTAATGTGAATCATCACCACTGCTAAATGTCCACAATCACTCTTCTCTCTGCTTCTCAAACCCACTCTTATTAGTTAACACGAGTGCCCTCTCCCAACCTCTGTTCTACAGCCTAAATCAAAATTTGCCAGTAGGCTTTAGAACCCTACTTTCTTCTTCAAATATGCCACAGCATTTTTTGAAGTGTATAAATCTGCTACCAAATATTTGTGAAACACTGCTTTACCCAAGACTTTACGTAGAAAACCATCCTGTTTCCCACCACACACCAAAAAACTGTGCTGAAAAATTGTATTTATAGCAGAAAGTTTTCCTTTTCCGCAGCAATCAACATGCTTCTTGTGTTACTTATTGAATCTGCCGTATCACTACTGCAACCACAAGCTGCTGCTTACATTACCAAAGTTGTGCAAAGGGTCCAAAGTTGTGCAAGAGTCATCACTGAAATCAGACTCTAGTATATTAATAGTTATAACACCTGAACAACTCTTAGCTTTATTATTAGATTCAAAATAATGCCAAAGTCACAGGTATTAAAAAATATTTTCAATGAGTTTGGTTACTTTATCTATGAAATACAATGGGATGCTATTTTAAACGGGAATAACAATTTCTGCTTCAAAGGGACACCAGGTCACCTGAAAACTGACGGTTGTGACGGTAGATTTGATACATCAAAAAAAAAAAAATCAGTGTCCCCGACAACCACACGCCAGCACGCGCGCGCGCACGCACACACACACACACACACACACACACTAGCCAGTACACACCCAGGGCACTGAACAGCCTTGCGTTACCATAAAATAACCGCAGTTCACACGTGGCACAAGTCTACAGAACTCTTTCATGCTTTAATGACCTCGAAAGGGATTCCCCAGGCATCAAAGGGATGTGACTTATTCTGACTTGAGAATTGAGAGTGATAAATATATATATATGTGCGTGTGTGTCTATATATATATATATATATATATATAAAATTTTTTTTTTTAAGGTTTCCGTCTCTCCTCAGCTGGCTGGCCCACACCAGGGGAGGCTTTGCCCAGGCCTTGGCAGATGAGTGTTGGTCGGAGAAGGTGGGTCGGGTCAGGAATCCCAAGACCCTCCTCCCATCACCTTCTGCTCTCCTCTGCCCCCCCTTTCTCTCTCGGGGCGGGGAAGAGGCCCAAGGTGGGGGACCCCGGCTCGGGAGTGCAAACATCAGAGTCAGGCCCTGACAACCCTGCGCTGGGCCGCCCCTCCTGCCATACACTCCCCGGATCGCGAGTCGAAACGGCTGCCGCGGCCCCCAGCTGCAGGGCCGGCCCGGGCGGGGGCCGGGGCACGGGCCCGGCCAGGCCGCGGCCGCTCGCAGTGCCCACGTCACCAGCTCCAGCACTGCGGAAATGGAGCGGCGCGGCAGGCAGGGAGGCGCCGGGGGGCGTCGGCCCCCGAGCCCCGGCCCGACGCTGTTCGCTCCTCAGCCCCGGCCCAGAGGCCGCCGACACCCGCCAGGCCGCGCCCCGGGCCTCACCTGTGTCGCCGATGATGATGTACTTGAAGAGATAGGCGTACGCCATGGCCGCGGCCGCTCGGTGCCAGGGCACACGGCTCCTCCTCCTGCGGCTGCTCCTCCTCCTCCGCGCCCCTCACCCTGGCGCCGCTCGGCCTCCAAACGCCAGGCCCCGCCCGCCGCCGCCGCCGCCGCCGTGGCCGTCAGCCGCCGGGATTGAGGCGCCCAGAGGAAGTGGGACAAACCGACACCAACCGAGCCGAGGAAGACAGCGCCCAGCCGAGCTCACTCGAACAATAACAGCCGCCGCCGCGCCTCCGCCCCGCCTCCGCGCCGACCCGGAAGTGCTGCGGCCGCCGGCGCCGCCGGGGGCAAGGGGAGGAGCCCCGCACGCCGGCCGCTGCCCGCCGGCCGGAGCCCCGCCCAGCCAGAGCCCCGCCCCGCCGGCCGGAGCCCCGCCCAGCGCCGCGCCGGCTGCTCCCAGTCCGCCCGTGCGCCCCCCGGCCGCCGGTCGTTCCGGCACGTTTGAGCGGGCGACCCCGGCGGCCGGGAGACGCTGCGGGAGGGGCGGGGGCTTGGGGGTCCCGTCGCGGCGACGCGCGCGGTACCGCGTCCTTTCGCCCTGCGGTGGGACGCGGAGCATGTGGTGGGAAGGAGGAGGCCGCGATCGGCGCAGGGCCCCGTCCTTGGCTCGTGAGAAGGTGTTTGAAAGTGCGGGAGCCCCTCGGGGCTGGGTTGGAGGGCGGATGTATTTCTGTGCTGGATGTGGGGCTTTGACAGTGAAATTGGAAGGATTTGTAAATTAGCAGCCATAAATCAGGGAATGTGCGTAAACCGTGGTAGTCCCTGCGATGGAATGCTATGTAGTCCTAATTTTTTAAAAAAGCGTGACTTATGTTAAGCAAAAACAAGGGATAGCACTCAGTGTGTAAACATATATCTATGTTATATGTATTATCTATGCAATTATCTATAATATGTAAAAGTGATGTATGATATATAATTGTGTTTGTATATTTATAAGCTACGCTTTATTGTTAAATGAATTTTTTTTAACCATTGTCTGGAAAAATGATAGGAATCCGCTTAAATACCCACATGTACTTAGTCTGAAAGGAAACAACTGGCATCAAAGGAAGGAGTGGGTGGGATTGGAGGAAGGATCCACCTTTCACTGAATTTTTTCAGTGCAGTTTGACATTTTTGCAGTCTTCATGAATTTTCTATTGAAAAAAGGGGGAAAATAACTTTTTTGCTCATTCAACTAACACTAACTAAGTACATAGCATATTTTCTGCACTTCTAGGCATTGGAACTAAAGGCAGAGCCTATTATAAAGGAGCACAGAGTTAAAGTGTTAGGGTAGGTTACCTGGAGAAGATTATGTCTGAACCAGAAATACGAATGATGAGCAAGAATTTGTCAAAAGAATGAAAGTTGGGGAAAGGGAACTGAAATTTAGGCACGAGAAACAATGAGCAAAGGTCCTGGATCTGTTCAGGGAATTTAAAGTTGCATAAGGAAGCTTGTTGGCTAACTCGTAGCCTCTCGTGTTGGCGGTGGAAGGGGCGTTATTGCTAGGGCAGAAGTGACTGGGATTTAGTGGCCCTGGCTCCTGTTGCCTAATATTTTCCTCTCCCTTTTGGAATCCTTCATTCTACTGACACGTTCGTGTTAGGCTGGCAGTGGCTGGTTCCTGCCTGATTTGAATGGCCTTTCCAATTGTCACCTTAAACAGATTTCTTAAAGAGTGTTTGGAGGGGATTTTCAGAGACAGCACACAAAAATTTGACATGAAACATTACCTAGAATTGCATAATCTGGTTCACTCGTCTTTAGTTTGGGGGAGAAGAGGTCCCTGCTCAAGGCCACCACTATTCCAAAGGCCATTTTGTCCCTTCCATCTGAGTGCCTTCACTCGAGTCTTTCCTGGTGATCAACATTTAGAAAATCCCCTCCTTCCAGAAGAAACTCAATTCCTTACTATTCTCAGAGGAAGTTCTTTACCCATAGCCTGAACAGGACAAGTCTACGAGGATGTCACACGAAAGCCTAACATCCTTACAATCAGGAGCAACCTTATATTGTTAGAGGTGAGCAGAGGGAGAAGTCACTGGTGCCAGGTCACGTGGGGATTTGTAGCCGTGTCAGTGTGCATATAGAACTTTACCCAATGGACACGAGGGAAACTGAAGAGAAAGGTCAGAATTGTGTATGTAAAAAATCATAGGTGGATGCACCTAGAGATAATGATACTAGGTGAAGTAAGACAGAGAAGTACAAATATCACATGATATCACTTACATGTGGAATCTAACAAAATGATACAAATGAACTTATTTCCAAAATAAAAACAGACTCACAGATACAGAAAACAAACTTATGGTTACCAAAGGGGAAAGGAGTGGGGAAGGATAAATCAGGAGTTTGGGATTTGCAGATACAAACTACTATATATACATAAAATAGATAAACAACCAGAACCAGTATGTAGCACAGTATTCAATTTCTTATACTAACCTGTAGTGGAAAAGAATCTGAAAAAGAATAGATTTATATATGTGTGTGTAACTGAGTCACTTTTGCTGTACACCTGAAATTACACAATATGGTAAATCAGCGGTACTTCAATAAACAGTTGTTTGTTTTGAAAAATAAATGCACCAAGGGAAGGTGATAAAATTAGAAGGCATTTTTGCAAGATAAAAAAAAAATCTCACAACAATGTCAAGGCCACAGGAGTCAAGTGTGTATTGTTCTTGCACAGGACTGAGAGGCAGTATTATTGTGCACAGGAATTGTAACAATCAGTAGCTTTGGAAGGAGTAAGGTCTGGATTTTCAAGTCCCTTCCTGAGCCTCGGTTTCCTTGTCTGGAAAATACAGAGAAAAACTGCCTCACAAAGTCAATTTAGGATCAAATGAGATACTGTATGTGAAGATATTTTGTAAATTATGAAAAATATATACTTAATACATGAAACTCTTAGTGTTGCACAATTTAAAAAAAATTAACTTGAGGGAATAAAGCCCTAATCACTATATAAATCCATGTTTTAAACTCAGCTCCACTCCTGTCTCTCTTTTATGTCCCTACGTTTATTTTTTCCTACATGTAGTTCATGATATTTTGTTATATTTTCTCTAAGCCCATATATGCTGTCTTAAATTCTCTTTGAAACAATACAGGGTATAAATAAAAACTACACAAACCTCATTTTAAACATTTTTATGTAGCCCCCAAAATCCCAAGACATTTTTCGAGAAAAATTCCTCAGGTAAGATGACAGAAATAAACCTCGCTTCCCTTAAGTCATAGGACACTTCCTGGGATTTTCCATTCAGTTTGATTTTCAGCTATTTCACTCCCTTGAGGATGAATTCCGATAACCTCATCTCTCAGTCTTACATCATGTATGGTCTGAAGGTCATAACTGTGAAATTTAAAGATTGTAAGACTACATTCTCCAGAGTCTCCTTATTCAAGTTCTCCAGGACATTTTTAAGTACAGTATTATACTGGAATTTTAAATCTACTTGTCCCAACCAAACTTTTTATTTGTTTAAATTTCCTCTGGTTTTGCTCACTCTCAGACTGTGGGTAGAGTGGTAGGGTGGAATGGGATGGGAATCCTGTAATCTATAGCTTCATGCTTTGGTTTCCATGGTTTCCTTATCCAATACTCAAATGCACTCTGGGGGCTGTGATCTTCTGGAAATGATATACACAGTGATGTGTGTATTTGCATACATGTAATTTTATGGGAGAGATTCTCACATGAGTCTATGACCCAGATGTAATTAAGAACCACTGCGAAATGCTTTCTTGCAGCCATTTCTAAATACTATGACAGAATTAATTTTCCTGCAAAATACTAATAAGCTCAGTACCAGTTTTGGAGGGAGAAGGAACTAGGTTGAAATCTTGAATTTACCCGCTACTGGTTGAGAGATCCTGGATAAGTTACTAAACTCTCTAAGCCTTAGATTTCTCATGAGATGACACAAGTAAAGTGTCCAGCAAAGTGTCAAGCTCACAGGAGACATGAAGTTAACGTTGAAGTCCTTTCCCCTTTCATCCTCTCCCTGTCCTCCGCCTCCAACCTGTCGCTGAGAGCTGTGGGAATTAAATGAGCCCAACAAAGACCCTGTCTTCAAGGGGATTAGAGTCTCTCTGTGCTAAGTCATGAGTACTTTTGGCCCGATGAAGACTGCAGAAGAGGTACAGTGTTATTTTAGAGGACGGAATTTTGTTCTGGAAAATGAAGGTAGGTTTTACCGAACGAGAACCGTTCAAGCTGAGCCTCAAAGTGCATCATCCTTCATAGTTATTGCTTTAACATAGTTATTCCGGAGCCTTCAACAGCCCTCTCCACTCTACTTTGTTCACCTTGTCCACCTGCCCTGCCCTTTATATTCTTGCTGGGTAACACCAGTATCCTCTCTTTTACTTTTCTATTTGCAACCTATTTCTGACCATTTGTCAAAGCCAGAAATGACTGTTTTCTCTCTTCCATTTAGTTTTGTTCATCCTTCGAAAGTTTACTCAAAGAGTCAACGATGGAATGATTGAAGATTCACATCTTGAGTCCCTGTGTGTGGAGGGGAGTGAAGAAACTTTTGTTTGAATGTAGGCCAATCTTGTTACCAATGGACTTACCATTAATAATAGAAAAGAGCTCCGTCAGTGTGTGAATGAGAGAAAAGTGAATATTGGAATAATAATGAGGTCATTTTATAAGATCATGGATTAAAAACTATAACTATGTAAAACGTTTTGAATTAATAATTAAAAAAAATAAAACTTGAGAGTGAGTTAAAAACCAAAAGAGAGTTCTTAAATTACCTGCTTTTCTAAGTCCTTAACAGTTATTTAGTGCTTCCCGCCAAGAAAGGGATGTGGAGAGAGGCTTAATGTTGGATTCCAGGAGGCCTAAATTATAGTCTCTCTTGCCACTAAGCAGCTGACCTGGAGAGCATCCTCTTCAGAATTTTGGTCATATATTCAGTAGAGATAATAACTCCAGTTGCTTACATAACAGAACTGCTGGGAGGTGGATGTGAGAACACAGTGGAAAGTACATGACAAGGAGGAAGCATGTGTACCATCTTCCAGGGGGATGATTCTCTGCAGATGCATCTAAGTGTGTTAAAGGCCCAACCCCTACAGAAGCATAGAACATCAGTAATATTTTACTATCTGCATTATTGGGTTTTTGTCATGCAATTACTTCATAGCCTACTCTCCATTTATCTTTAATGATTCTATGACTTGTGTTAACATGTAGGTGTCCTTATTTTGGAAAAACAGGGATCAGAATGAGAAGGGGGTTCATGAGGTGTCTGCCTCACATTGTGCTGAAGAGCGAACCATTTACTACTTCCATAAGTGCTTCAATTTCTTTTATTCTTTAGCCTTAAAGGTCTTTAAATTTTGATAAAGGGAAATCCATTTACTCCTCATTTTTGAGGAAATGATAAGCTAGCTCTGTCCCAGTGGGAGGTGTGGAAAGAGAAAACCTTCTGTCACCAATATCCTTTGTGTGAAATGGGTGCCCAAAATTGTGAGATCAATTTCAACCTTCTTCTGTCTCCCCTCCTTCCTATATAGTCTTTATCTCTGCTTCTGATTCTCAGAATTTTCACCATATGGAGTGAAAGAGAGGAAAATGACCGCCAAAGAATCACATTCTCCTTTCTAATATGGAGAAAGTAACAGTCTATTTTCTAAACTTTTTTATTTAAAAAAACTCATTAAAAGAATAAACTTGTTCTTCAGAAATTGAAATTACATCTAAAGACTCAGATTTAAAAATCTGTAAGGCTAATTTAGATTTGTCCGAGAATCATCACTTCACTACTCTTACAACTTTCTCAGTTTAAGGAATCTGAGGATCAATTCGCAACAATTTCTTCAGTTAAACATATTACGAAAAGGTACAGTGTAACCTTACAACAGCAATAAACATTTATTCTCACACAATTTTTGTTTATCAGAAACCTAGGAGCAGCTTAGCTGGGTGGCTCTGGCGTGGAGGTCTCATGGGGTTGCAATGACTCTTTCAGCCAGGGCTGTAGTCTGCAGTCATCTGAAGGCTTGACTGGGGCTGCATGATTTACTCCCAAGGTAGCTCGTTCGCATGGCTGAGGCTTTAGTTCTATACCACGTGGACCTCCTAGAGGACTGTTTGTACCTTCGACATGGAAGCTGATTTCTCCCAGAGTGCGAGAGATGAGAGAGTGAGCATGAGGTCAAAACCTCAATGTCTCTTATGACCTAACTTTGGAAGTCACATTCCATCACTTCTGCTGTATTCTTCTGGTCCCGTGGACCCACTGTGATAAAATCTAGGAACGGACTACACAAGGGCATTAATACCAGAGGCAAAGACCACTGGGAGCCATCTTAGAAGCTGGCTACCACAACCTGAAGAGATCAAGAACTAAAAACAGAGATCTAATAAATGTCTAACCATCTGAAATCAGATTCATTTTAGGTCAAATCAGGTTCATTTAACCTGTCTACCTACAATAAAATTTTAGTATAAATACATGAGTCTGTTTATAGTAAAGAAATTAAAAAGAAAGTAAAAAGAAATTTACTGTGGTTTTGGTTTTGTGTGCTTCTAAAAATATTTTCAATAAAAGGCCTGAAAAAATTAGTTTACAGTTGGAAAAGAGAGAGAAAACATATTTTTCAGTTTTTAAAAATTATGTTTCAAAGCAACTTTTGAGGCTCAAATGCAATAACAACATAGCTTCTAAAAGGGATTTTTTTAAAAAAGAGTTGCTGTTTGCTTTCATCTCAAGTCCTTAAGGATTCATGTGATTCCACAGAGCAAACAATTTATTTCCACTTTTTCATTAACTTATTTGAATAATGTTATGGGAATTCAGTGTTTCCCTATCTGCTAATATTTCCTACTTGCACTCATATGTCCAAATGTTAAAGCAGTTGATTATGCATGTTATGTTTCAGGTTAAAAAAAATCTACATTAAATGGATGTAAGGGAAACACTCCCTTTAGGTGAAAAAGTTTGAAGTACTAGTAAGTAGAGTTTCTCTATCATCTTATTCCCTAAATGCAGTGTTTTCTGGTACTGTTATCTTTATCAGAAGAACTGCAGGCTTATGTCATTTTGGGGTCTTATCTTGAAGTTTTCATTACCAGACTTAATGGAGAGCAATTTTTACTCTTAGTAAATGGATATTTTAACTTTCTTCACACTACATTTGATACAAATTATAACACAGAAGTGTCTGTTAGAAAGAGCAGATTATTCATCATTGATATACTCTACTTTTTGTTAAGTTTTCCTTTAGCAAAATCATTAATAGACAAAAACCTCTTTAGAACTAGAGTCTGCTTCCTCTCTTTGAATCAACTGAATGCATTTCTGGAAGGTTCTCCTTTCATTTCACCCCCTCAAAAACCCCCACTAAATCCAAACGCCAAATGTGAGCTTGTCTCATCTGAACACTGAGGTCAGCAAATAGCTTATTTATAAAAGAACAGACTGAGGTTCTTGAATTACTAATTGAAACACAAAAACTGAACTATTTATCTTTCTTTCTTAGAAATAAGCAGAGATGAGAAAGTAAGTATACAGATCTCCCTTGACTTACTCGAGGGATACGTCCAGATAAACCCACCATAAGTTGAAAATATTGTTAAGCTGAAAACACATTTAATACACCTACCAAATATAGCTTAGCCTCGATATCTTAAACATGCTCAGGATACTTACATTAGCCTACAGTTGGGCAGAATCCTCTAACACAAAGCCTATTTTATAAGAGTGTTGAACAGAGCATGTAACTTACAGAGTACTGTGCTCAAAGTGAAAACCAGGACTGCTGTCTGGGTACAGAATGGCTGTAAGTGTATCACTGTTAACCTTCATGATCACATGGCTGACGGATGCCCAGCATCACGAGAGAGAGGCTCATACTGCATATCACTAGCCTGGGAAAAGATGAAAATTCAAAATTCAAAGTATGGATTCCACTGAATGTGCATTCCTTTTGTAGAGTCAAAAAATTGTAAGTCAAACCATCGTTAAGTCAGGGACCCTCTGTATAGTATGTTTGACTATAAGGGACCCAGGATACAGGAAATTGAAAGTGAACTCAGTATACACAGGCATACTTCCATTAACGTGAATTCACTTAAGAAAGTTTTGAATTCACTGAGTCACTAAAAGAAAATTTTGAAGTCACTAAACAACTCTTTAATGATTAATTTAATGTGCCCGTATAAGAAACAATTATTTGAGACCTGTTGTTCACATGCCAGGTACTATACCAGGTGCCAAGAATATATATAGAGATTTACCATGAAGCTAAGGAAACTTAAGCTCAGGGTCCCTCACTTGCGTGACACCTTCCAAAGCAAATATGTTCAATTTGTCAATTTCCTTTTTTTGTAAAATTTGCAAAAGTGAGATATCTATACTTAAATTTCTGAATTCTGTTCTTTCTCTCCACTCAGACTTCTTAACTGCTGCACTTGCCCCCTGTGTTGGGAGGTTCTGGAGTGTCCACAGGTAGTATTCTTTCTGTTTTTTTTGGTAGTGTTTAAGGAAGAGTTGTGTTGGGGACACATTTAACTTTTTAGAATATATTTATTCAGGGTCTCATGTTTTACGTTGAATCATTGTAAGTTGTCCAGCGTAGAAAAGGCTTGCAGGAATTCTGGAATTCCTGCTTCACTGACTCATACCACATCCTGTGATGGGGAGGTCATATCTCAACATGAGCACATCCTAATGGATTAGTTTTCTATTGCTGAGTAACGAAACACCACAAACTTAGTAGCAAAAAGCTGTACCCATTTATTAGCTCGCAATTCTGTAGGGCAGAAGTCTGGGCCTGGTGTAGATGGGTTCTCTTCTCAGGATCTCACAAAGTAAAGATCAAGGTGTCAGCTTAGCTGCATTCTCATCTGGAACTTGGGTCCTTTTGCAAGCCCATGTGATCATGTGATGTGGCAAGATTCTGCTTCCTGCAGTTACAGGGCTGAGGACCCTATTTTCTGGCTATTAGTCAGGAGTTTCTTTCAACAGCTAGAGGCTGCCCACATTCCTTGGCACATGGTTGACTCCATCTTCAAACCCAACAACAGAGACTCTCCCTCATTTCTATTCCCTCCTGCTTTGAATTTTTTTTGTCAGAAGGGGCTTTGTCACTTTAAAAGACTCACCTGACTAGGTACAGCCCACCCAGGGCCATCCCCCTGTCTTGAAGTCAGTTGATTTGGGACATTAATTGTATCTGCAAAATCCCTTCATAGCAGCATCTAGATTAGTATTTGGTTGAACAACAGGGAGAAGATGGGTGTGCAACAGGGAGTGGAGCTCTTGAGGGCCATGTTAGATTTCTGCCTGCCAGCACTGGACATATATATATAGGCTGGTGGAACGTGCACCCTATTATAAAGCTTTCCAATTCAGAATAGTTATCCTCGAAATCTTGGAAGAAAAATTCAAACATAAATAAATGAAAATTTACTCTGAGTTGGCACAGGTCTAGTGAACCATCTTAACTGCAATAATTCTACTAAAACTCATGAGAAATTACAGGTTCCTAATTTATTTAGTAAAAACCCAGAGATTGTTATTTATTAAAAACAAAGAGTTCACAAAAAATTAACAGACTATGTAATAAAAGCAATAAAGATGAATGAAAAATTAATAAAAATGATTCTATCATAGAGAACTAAATGGTAACAAAG